TTTCCCGGTTGCTTTGCAGCCTTCGTTTTCCTTCTGTTTGTGCAGCGTCTTTTTCTTTTTGCACGTTGCCCAGTGCTCACTTTCGAGAAGTCCACCTGCAACATTTGCAGAGCAGAACTTGTCTCGCTTGTCTTTTCAGCTATAATGCCTATACAGTCGGGATTTTCCGTTAACTTGTGGACACCCTGACTTGCGGGAAGCTTGACTGACGGCTGAGCAATGCAAGCATCTTCCTCGGGGCTGCGCCGCTCGCACCTGGAAGAACTACTTGCCCCAACATTGCCCAGCTCGCAGTGTGCGTCAGCATTCGACTGTGCCCCGCTCTCTGTACAGGGGTCCTCACCTACCGGGCCGGAGGTACTGCGAACATCACAGTTAGCTGCCATGGCGACGCCCATACAGGGTGGCTGTGCCAAGTCAATCACAGATGGCATTTCTGTATCGACAAGACTCTCCAGGCACAGCGCCTCGTCGCCATCACTGCGGCCTTCAGTGGCCTTTGTGGCCACAACAGGACTTTCAGCAGCTAACTCAGTAGGTCCACTCGCGAACCTGATGTCCGCCTCAACAGTACACAATTTTTGCCCGGCTCTCAGCGGTTTGGCACCTACGGGCTCTTTGCAATTTTTATGCATTACATCAAAAGCCTCAAACTCGCGCCGCCTGCTTTGAATCTTCAGGCGCAGTTTCTCAACGTACTCATGGTACGACTGTGCCAACTTGTTCGGGGCATGGACGGTCGCGCTATTAGACATTCTAGCGGCTAAGCTGGGACCCGACTGTGTGGCACACAGTCCCAAGCGCTCTTTTTCTCTCTGAATTCTAAGCCTTGAATTTTCTCGCTCCTGTTCCATCGAATATTCCAGATGTTGCCTGTACCTAATGCGTTCGGCATCGCGCTCCTCTTTAAGTCTATTTCGTTCTTTTTCGACGAAATTATATAACTCCTTGCCTACAAAGCCAAAGGCTTTGCCCTGTTCAATAAGCTTATCAAACTCCGTGCCATCCATTGTTAAAACAGTTGTCCACCAACAAAACAATAAAAGGACGTCTACATATCACGCTCAGAGCTACGTCAGTCTCTCAGACACCACCACGTGGTCGGCCAGTCCTGTCGCGCGGACGCCAGATAATGTCACACACTTCTGGTGAGGCCCCGCCGATCCAACATCGACGTGCGGCAGACTCGCAGGCTTCCACTTTACGCTTCGGCCTGCGACGCCTGAAAGGCCTCGAAGTGGCACATTTCGAATTTATTTGCGGGTTGGTCGACCCGTGCGGGGTTGCACGTGTGGTGATGTGTGGGCCTGACCGACGCACTCATAGAGCAGACACGGAGTTCGATTACACATAAACAAGCATTTAATTAAAACAGGGGCAAAGGCAGGAGATTACAAAACTAACAAAGGAGGAAAACTGATACGCGCGATGAAAAGAACAGCTAGATAACACAATATGCTAAAAGAACACCACAAGAGGTACAAGCACGGGCCAATACGCGGAATGGTAATAAAATAACGACAAAAGAGAAATCAGAAAAGAGCGATACAAGGGAACAATTACACAATGATCATGGTGGCGCTTTAGAATTTAAACGTGCGACGCAGCGCACACTACAAATATTTAAAAAAAAGGCTGGTTAAAACAAGTTTACGGTTTAACAAAAAAAGTCACAATAAAAAGTTCCATACGGACCAAACCAGCCCTTGGTGCACGTAGGGGAGTTGACGGGTGCCGCTGAAGGTCTCGCCGGCTTGGTAGACGACGAGGGTGCCCGGAATTGCAGCCGTCTCAATACGTTGCGAGGGTCACTCCGTGCTCGCCGCCTACGCGAGACTCGCGACACCGACGACCGCACTGGTTGCTGTCTGTACGTCAACTGCTCTTCCGATGCAGTTCAAACCGCCTCAGGGGCGTACACGTGCTCCCGTCTCATCTGGGAGTAATATTCCCTGTTTAGATCGCCGGTGCCCCTTCCGGTACCGGTGCAGGGAAGACGAGCCGGCGCCACGTTGGGTCGTTATAGTCGCCGGATGTCGTCCCCCAACACAAAAGCGCCCTTCCTTGGTAGGTGGGGCCCGCGGATGCTCCGAAAATTGGAGTCGTTTGTGACAGTAGGCTTGTACAGGCCCTCGTGGACAGTAGGATAGTATACAGTGTCCCCTACCAAACACCACTCCCACAGGAAAAAGAACAATTAGAGGCAATCCTTAGAAAAGCCTACAAGTGCGCCCGTAGTCTACCTGTCATCACCTCGGCAGAGAAATTCCTTAAACTCGGGATAAACAAAACAGTGCAACAAGACATCGAGGGGCATCTTCTTGTGCAGAAAATGAGACCCGCTAGCGGCTACGTGCAGGTACACGTTGCAGACATTGGGGATGAGGTATGCTTGCGGAGAAATCAATAACACGGCGAGCATACCAAAGGACATTCGCCAGATCATTGAAGTCAGCCCAATACATCTAAACATGCATTCAAAAATCCATAAAGCTCGAAAAAAAGCAAGATCAGAAGCACAAGAAAACAAATTTCAAGGCAACAACTGAAGTATTGTACGTTGACATGACCACATACAGAGGGCACTCAGGGACATTTGTAAGCGTTGTTGATCATCAACTTAGGGAAGTCAACAGCGCCTCGATCAGAAGCAAGAACATCCTCGAAGCTGAGGAAGTAGCGATCGCGCTCGCCATCACACACCAGAGCGAAGAGTCTACATCAGAAATAGTTACTGACTCGCAAGAAGCGTGTCGACGGTACAGCAGTGGACGCATATCCAGTGCTGCCATCCGCACACTCAAGGGATGAAAAATCAACTTCTCCAGCTGCTCCATTACGTGGACACCAGGTCATGAAACTGTGAGAGAGAACCAGCGTGCCGACGCCATTGCCCGAGAATACGTCGACCTGGGGGCGCACAACGACGAGGAACCAGCCACAATTACTGGACTTTATCGAGCAATTTTAGAACACCGAGAGCCCTGGGAAGGATATAACCCCTCCCCACAAAGACCTCAGCAGAGAGCAGTCGGTTGCCTGGAGACAGCTGCCGACTAATACCTACCCCAATCTCAGTCTTCTGAGTAAAATCTATCCAGGAATATACGCCAACAAATGCCCGCTATGCAGAAAACACCCCAAACTTTGCCACGTGACATGGGCCTACCAACACACACAGGTAGTGCCAAGAAACTGCACACCAACACCGGAGCAGTGGGAGGCTGCGCTGTCCTGCTTAAGCCTGAAGAACAGTTCAAGCTAATCGACAGAGCTTGCAAGATGGCAAAAGCCACAGGGGCCCTGGGCTGAGGGCTCCGCCTTCAACGGAAAAAAATATTTGTAATAAAGTTTTGCATTCTTTCGCATTTTAGGAATTCTATACAAGCATTACGGCATTTGTAACTGTTTGGTCAAACGCTCTCGATGAAGTACAACAAAAAACTGAGAACTCCTGGGATTTTGACTTCCCTCTTCTTAAGCAGAGGTACCTTGAGCAAACTATGTTCTGCGGTCGCCTTTGGTACCTTTCTTACGTGGAGCAGCCGCCTTTACGCATCGTGAGGTCATTGCAATCTACCTTGTGTTCGTTCTTTTGGTCCGGTGGAACTGAGTTGGTTTCTCGTGTGGCGCTAGGACAGCAGCGTTCCCAGGGAGGTTTTACTTTCCTTTCTGTATCAATACGCTGCCAGCTATTGGCTTTGCGCTTCCTGTGGAAAGGAATCCCCTGCACGAGGAATCTCCTGCACAAGGAAAGGAATCCCCTGCACGAACTCTGGCATATTATTTTCTAGGCACTCACCTCTATTTAATGCCTAATGTGCACCTTAATCATGGACCGCAATCAGTAATACTTCCTGTGTTTTATGCAACATCTGTCGCATTTTTTCGTCATATCCAGTCGACGTGCCCGGAGGTAGATGTGTTAGACAATCCTATCGTTGACACAACAGCCGCTTTGTTGCTCCCGTTAGTTCCTCCGGCACGCCACACCCGCTCTAGTCGTGTGTCTAGGAGCACGCTGACGGCATCCCTGGCCACCTCCGGGACTTCATGTGGCGGCTGGGAGGGGGGGGGGGCGTTCTTCCTACCCTAGACCGCCTCGAAAGGTGGAGAATCGTCCAGTCATCAACATGTCCGAACTACTCCCTACGGGAAACAAACCAGCGTGTTTTAAGACAATGCGTCGTTGCTCGTGTTTTCTGGAGGGCTGTGCATGCAGGATTTCGTGGCCTCGGAGTAAACTGGTTTGTTTCTTCTGGACGTTGTTCTCGAGGCCGCTTCGCCTACCTTCTCATTGTTGCTGGTGCCTACTGTCTTTGGCGCAATCACTGTGAGGCTGTTGCAGCAGGTCGTAGCCACCATGCTCTCTTCCCGATTTTGGAGCTACTGTACATAGAAACACTATCTGTTTTGTCCGAGGAACTCTTCCTTCTGGGTGAGGAGGAATTCCTTCGACACTGGTCCTTCCCTTTTCTGTTCGTCTGCGAGAGACGTGTAAAGCTTGTTTTCATGCCTGCCTGGTTTTGGTAGGTTAATCTTTGTTTAGTACTCGCAAAAATACATTGTAAATACTATGTAAATACCTAACATATAGATATTTACATTTCATTTGTGTGTTCTTTGTTTACCATGTATTGTGCATATGTAGACATATATTTTTGTAACAATTCTTGTGTATTTGTGTGTGTTGTGTTCCGTGTACATATGTATACTTTTCTTTTCGTAACAACGTTTGGTGTGTCTATGAATGTTGTGTTCTGGCGCTATGTTCTGTTGGATTGTAGTTGATGTTCACTGTCCGTGAGAATAAATTTCACTAAAGGAGTTGTCATTAATTGTGATTTCGATGGCGAATAAAGAGAAAACAAAGAACTTTTTATCTGATAAATTTGGCTTCAATGCAAGTGAATGCTGCCTCACAATGATTACCAATAATGCTAACAAGTGACGCATCGGGCTTTCACTCTCTTGCCAAGAACAGTTAAATACATGTACAATTTGGTTATTGAAAAACGCTTTGATTTATGTACAAATATTACAAACGTGTAGCTAGGACAGCTCTCTTCTTCGGAACCACACAGGAAGTCCACCTTTGGCCTTCAGCACAATCTCGAAGGTCATCTCAACCTCTTCGAGGGGACGTGTAGACTCGACGGTAAACTTGGTAAGGATTTTGGCCAGCACAACTTTCACCTCCATCATGACAAACTTCTGACCTGTGAGTGGCAAGAAATAATTAAGGTACTATAGCAACACATTTAACTTGTCCAATACTGAAAAGAATCGATCAATGTATAAACAAAAGAAATAAACGTGCCAACTTGTTCAAAGTAGGGCACGTTCAAAATTAGAAAATAATTTTTTGGGGGACCAGATATTGAAATATGAAGTGAATTATATAAGGAGAGCATGAAACAACGCATCTCTCTTGGTAATCAGCCAAATTGAGAACGTCAGCGTTTTCATTGCATTTTATCTGAGTTCGCGATATCGATATCACGACGCCAGCCATTCGTATAGAAGGTAACATCACCCGTGCTGACCTTCGAAGAGCTCCACCGAGCGAAAATATGGCAAGAAATAACAAAACCAAATTAAGTTAATACCGACTAGAGTCATTACTAAAAACTACCACTATGCGTTGTATTCTTGCAGCTGGTTAATGCGCCCGCCAAAAGTAGTTGCCGTCTCCGTACGGTATCGCCTGGATGAGACGTGAGAGCGATAATTTGCATCAATTTCATCTTCAAAGATTTTTTAAAATGCGAATGCTTTTCTTAGTGGGGCTATGTCGAGCGTCCGTCGGGATCCATCCACCACTCCCTTCCATAGCAACAGCTGCAGGTGCGCGCATCCCTAGCAAACGGAGCCCCCACCTCCTTGACATAAACATGACTTGCCACCTCCTCAATGCAGTGCGTTTGTGTTGATGAGACGTGGACATTATGGCCGTCAGGTACAATGACAGATACAGTGCTTCACGGCTCTTTTTCGCGCCATTCGCTTTTTTTTCTCCCTGCGCCCCATTTTCTCGTACTCGCGCGCATCACTCTCGACCATTCGCGAACTGGGCGCCTCTCAAGAACATCCGGAAATGTGTGCTCGAGACACCGCTATGAACCGCCAATACCAAGCTGAGAACGCTGTTTTTGTTGCGATAGCAATTACATCTGTATTTTGCCGCTGGCTTATATTTATACGCATCTATATATATCAAAACGCAAGAAAGAAAAAAATCAGGAAAAGACTCCGGTGCGCGGAATACAACTTGGTACCACTGAAACGCGAGTGCGAGGCGTTAATCACCGGGCCACGTAGCAGCACGTGCTTCAACGTTCAAGTGGCAAGCTATTTATATCTACCTCTTACCGCTGGTGACTGGAATCTCGGGGAGGAACTATCGTGTTTAAGCATTACCAAAAAAATGGTGCTGTGATCGCGCGTCACCACATTGTCATGACACGGTCCCAGGTGCTCTTATCTACCACGCGTACTTTGCTTTGCAGAGAGAAGGGGGTGGACGTAAAGCCCCTGGACGCCCACTCGCACGCCCTTATTCCACGGTGGAGAGAATGATACGTCTTCGTTGGCCTTCAACTTTCCCCGGTAATATTCTGTTGTAGTCACAGGGCGCACAAAGGTCACTGCAATCGTTGCACCGTCTCCGTTTGTGAAAAAAGCACGTTTTGCAGACACAGCAAAGTACTAACTGAGACGCTTATTCGCGTTCATCTGTACCTATGAGTATGTTAGGTGTGTTGTTCGTGCGTGAGAAACGCGGGAGACGTTTCGATCTCTTTGCCATTCGTGATGTTCCAACGTGTTTCTATCGTGTTTATTGCTTCGCTTTTGAGGCATAGCTGTGAGTTTTTGTTCATTTCATAATATTTTTACTGTGAACGCCATGGCTGCTAGAGCTAGACACGCATACCGCGTTTATTGACTATACTTTGAGACAAAGGCTTTCTTCAACCATGAACTCCATTATTGTTTTCCAGTAGTATTTATTTGGATGTGTAAGTGTACACAAAGCCTTCTCTGTATAAAACTGTATTGATTCTTTTATGCAGCAAAGATTCAGTTCGCTGCTTCCGAAGTGTGAATATTTGGAGTGCATAAATACCTATGTCTAATGTTTCTATGTAACTAGGATTATTATTACCAATTTTAAAAAATCTACAGTTCTGTATGCCGCCTGTAAGAAAGTACTTAGCTTTCATTGTATTCTGTAACTCATGCCCTCCTGCTTTGGTATCGTAAGAGACTGGCAGTATTGTAAATAAATAAATAAATAAATTGCAACGGAAAAACGCCACGTGCGGCGAACGGCACTATTGGCTGCACGGTGTACGAAAAAATGGCATCATATCCACGGAGTGAATGATGGAGAGTGGGGCGAAGCATCCGTCCGTCCATTCGTTCTTGCTTCCGTCCATCCATGCGTGCGTCTGTGTGGCCGCCCGTGCGTCCATCCACCCGTCCGATGCGTGCGTCTGTTCGTGCGTCCGTCCCTGCGTTCGTCCATGCATCCGCTCCTGCGTCCGTCCATGCGTCCATCCGTCCGTGCAGGCATCCGTGCGTCCGTCCATGCATCTGTCTGTGTGTCCATTCGTCCACCTATTCAACACTCCAAGTACCACAATCTCACATCTTTTCATCATTTATTCCTCATATAGAAGCACCGCCATCCAGCGGGCATTCCAAGGACAGAACGAGAGGAGGCACACGCACACTTTCTTACGGCTTGCGCTTCGTGTCTACTTCCCACCTTCAACCACCTCGAGTTTATGGTATACACTAGTTCACTGTATTCATGGCACTGCGGCCCAACGCTCACTAAGCCTTTCTAAAACCAAGGAGGTTGTGCCCAGCGAGTATAACGTAGCAACCCTTTCTTGTCAGATAGTGCTCAATGTACATGCCAATGGCTGCTAAGGGGGAATGAGAGACACGAGAATTCGGCTTTTAGTTAACGCGCACGCTGCGAATTTTTTATTGTTCAAAAACGCACAGAAGAAATCTCTCACTGGCACAACTTGGAGGTCAATATGTAAGACTGGTTACACACTACTACTACGACTATGAGGGACGAACGGGTGCCGCTATAAGGAGCTTCGCCCCTAAAAAAAACATCATTCTTCTAACGCTGGGTTCGCACGTTAGAAACGCCGTTATAGACGTTACACAACGCATTCGCATTTCCTCACGATTCTCTTCGAAGAGGTAGAGGTATTTGTTTTGCAGACCACTTGGCGATGTTACAGATGACGTGTGCCTCGAAAGATATACACACCCCCGCGTAATTGAATAGAAAATAAAATACCTTCAAGCAAGTACTTAATATCCTCAGACATTTGTTAAACCCGCACAGGAACAAGTTGGCAGAAAGGCACAATATTAATCGGTTAATACAAATGTAGGAACGTTCACAGCGGGATTTCCTCAATGAAATAAAAAAAATATACATCTCTCAAGCGCTTCCCGTTACACACCCTGATTACACAGGGATGACAAATGATGATTTAGACAACGAGATTGGTAAGACAGAAGTGAGGACCGCCTTGCAAAAACTCAATACTAAATCAGCCCCTGTACTAGATGACATAACTAACAAAACACTATGCAATTTGGATGATGAATCCATAACTAAGTTAATTGAATTTATTAACAAATCATGGAAGGCTGGCAGATTCCGCAACAATGGAACACGGAAAAAATCGTGTTATTACCCAAACCAGGCAAGCGACAGCAGATTGCGAACTTGAGACCCATATCTCTCAAATCTTGCGTGGGGAAACTCATGGAGCACGTAATTCTGGAGAGGATAACTACTTATCTTGAGGACCGAGATGCGCTCCCACTCTTAATGATAGGATTCAGGAGGAACCTCTCAACGCAAGACGCAATGCTACAGTTAAAACACCAGATATCAGATAATCCGTGAACAGCGACAGAGGCCATTCTATAGGGTTAGACCTCAAGAAGGCCTTTGATAACGTAACACATGCAACGGTCCTAAAAAGGGTAAACGATCTAATGATGATGATTGATTTGTGGGGTTTAACATCCCAAAACCACGATATGATTATGAGAGACGCCGTAGTGGAGGGCTCCGGAAATTTTGAACACCTGGGGTTCTTTAACGTGCACGCAAATCTGAGCACACGGGCCTACAACACTTCCGCCTCCATCGGAAATGCAGCCGCCGCAGCCGGGATCCGAACCCGCGCCCTGCGGGTCAGCAGCCGAGTACCTTAGCCACTAGACCACCGCGGCGGGGCGGTAAACGATCTAGGGCTGGGACAACGGAAGTACAATTACGTGCATAATTTCTTGATGGGAAGGAAGGCAAAGGTCGTGATAGGGGGCCTAGTTTTGGAGGAAATTGAGCTGGGAAGTGCAGGTACACCGCAAGGCTTGGTATTATCAACTATGTTATTCAATCTGGCCGTAATTGGACTGCCGACCAAGCTCCAAGCAATCGAAGGACTCAATGATACAGTATATGCAGACGACATCACCCTATGAGTGAGAAATGGGAGTGATGGGCATGTAGAGGAAACGCTTTAAACCGCAGTCAAAACGGTCGAGCGGTATCTGGAAGGTACTGGGCTAGCCTGTTCTGCGGAAAAATTGGAGCTGTTGCTCTGCAGGCCTACTCGTAGAGGTCACAAACCAGGCAACTGCCTGCAAGATCTCGCTCATAGAGAAGAAAGACAGTTAAGATCAGCCGATGGAAAAAAAAAAAACCCATACCCATAGTCGACAGGATCAAGGTACTGGGTCTGCTCATTGAAGCCAAGGACAACAACGGAGAAACCCCCAGACGACTGAATGCAACTATAACCCAAATAATGATACTCATAAAAAGGATAACAACTAAGCACAGTGACATGAGGAAGGAAAACACGATGAGATTGATAGAGGCTTTCGTGATAAGCAGAATAGAATGCGTAGCGCCGTACTTCACATGGCAAGTCGGGGAAAAGATCAAGTTAGACTGCCTCACTCAAAAAATATTCAAACTAGCCATAGTGCTACCGATATGCACAAACTGCTACAACTAGGCCTACACAGTACAATAGAGGATCTCATTGTGTGCAGCGTACGGCACAATATGATCGTCTTTATATAAGACATGAGCAGAAAGACATATCCTAGAGCGACTAGGAATGACGTATCACACAGCACGGCGTCAAGGTAGACATCTTAAGAG